GCGGGGGGGGGGGGGGGGGGGGGGGGGGGGGGGAGCAGGCTAGAACATCAGAACGGCCACACTGGGTCAGAGCAAAAACCCATCTAGCCCAGTGACCTGACTGCCGACAGGGGCCAGTGCTGGGTGCCCCAGAGGGAGAGAACACAACAGGGAATCCTCACGTGATCCCTCCTGTCACCCATTTCCAGACAAACAGAGGTTAGGGACACCATTCCTACCCACCCTGGCTAATAGTCATTGACGGACTTAACCTCCATTAATTTATCTAGCTCTTTTTTGAACCCTGTCAAAGTCCTGGCCTTCACAACCTCCTGTGGCGAGGAGTTCCACAGGTTGACGGTGCGCTGTGTGAAGAAAAACGCCCCTTTGTTCATTTTAAACCTGCTGCCTGTTCATTTCATGTGGTGATCCCTAGTTCGGGATTTAGTAGATTTTGTTGGGCCCCCCCCCCTCCACTCCTCTCCCCCCGGGCTCTGGGACCAAAATGAGGGGTGGGTGGAAGAGAGGGGGCTGCTGGGATGCCGGCTTGGGGAGGAAAAGTGCAAGAGTGAGCTGGGGGGGGAGCTCCAAGCCTCAGGGGCTGGAGTCAGGCAAGCGGGGGGCCATATCCGGCCCCTGGGCCTTAAGTTTCCCACCCCTTTGGGACAGATAGCATAGGGGGAGCTTGCAGCCGTCGGCACAGGGCTACAAGGGAGCCAGCTTGCGTCGGGGCTGCTGGTTCAGCACCTGCTGCCCATCCTGCCTTGTGCCCCATGGGCCGCTGTAGGGCACAGAATCCTAAGGCTTCACCCCGGCTGGGCTCCCCATGGGGGGCGGGGAGTCTCTGTGCCTGGCAGGGGGGACCTGCTGTGCTGAGGGAATTTACCAGTGGGGGGTGCAGGGGAGCCTTTCACACCAGCCCAGGGGAAAGGGACTTAACGCTGTGGTCCCTGCCTCCATGGCGAGCTCCTTCACGGCAGCTGCCTTCCCATTCGCTCCGGCGCCTGTCAGCGGCCAGACGGCCCCCGGGGGACCCTCGTTGCTACTGGTGTCTGTCGGGCGTACAGGGCAGCGCTGGGGCTAAGCCACAGAGTGTCGGGGGGGGGCGTCGCCAGGCCTGTGCCAATGGGATGAGAGACTCGGATCCCTGCTCTCGCTGCCCTGGGGGACTGTATCCCATTATGGATTGCTGCTCCCTTCCTGGGGGCCCACCCGCTGCCCTTTAAAGGGGCTATGCCGACCCTCTGATTGGGACGGAGCAGGCCCTTTTAAGACATTTCTTGCTCGGGAACCCAGCGGTGGTTGTCGCTGCGGCGGCGGTCGCTCCGGTGACCGAGACTCGGATCCCTGCTCTCGCTGCCCTGGGGGACTGTATCCCATTATGGATTGCTGCTCCCTTCCTGGGGGCCCACCCGCTGCCCTTTAAAGGGGCTATGCCGACCCTCTGATTGGGACGGAGCAGGCCCTTTTAAGACATTTCTTGCTCGGGAACCCAGCGGTGGTTGTCGCTGCGGCGGCGGTCGCTCCGGTGACCGTCGGTCGACGCAAACTCCCGGCCGATGGAACGCTAGGGGATTGCCTGTACTGACAGCGGAGCCCTGGGGAATTCGGGAAGGCAGTGGCAGGGGAAGAGCCGTCGTCTCGGATACATACGGCTGAGCTGACGCTGGGATCAGCAGCAGGAGCGTCTGGCAGGAGCAGCAGTCGTGCAGCCTGGCACGCCTCCTGCACCTTTGTTAGACGGGGCACATTGGGCTTGACCCTCGTGGAGTTGTTGCCACGCTTCTCGGGGCGGGAGCCCATTTTGCAGGTGGGAAAACTGAGGCCCGGAGAGGGGCAGCCCCCTGCCGGCAGCCTCGGGCTCGTCGAGTGGCCCCAAGCTGGGGGCCTGAGCCTGTGTCCTGCCCCTCCTCCCAGGCTTCCTCGCCCCTGGCTGTGCTGACCCCATGTTCTGGTTGGCCCTGCAGAAAGGGGGTGCCCTGAAGAAGGGAGCCATCGCCAGGACGCTGCACGCCGTCAAGATGGTGCTGTCCTACAACCCGGAGCAGCTGGAGTGGGATTCCCTGCACAGGACCAACCAGCAGCAGTGCTACTGTTACTGCGGGGGGCCTGGCGAGTAAGGCCCCGACTTCCCGCACTGCGCTCGGGTTTGAATGCGGCTGTTCGAGAACAGACGTAATGGGGTGACACCCCCCTCGGGTACCGCCGGGTCCTGGCCGGCTCCACTGGGCATGTGCAGCAGCCCATCGGGAGAGCCCCAACCTGGCGATTCCAGCCTAAATAGACAGGCAAAGGCTGCGTGACTATCCCCGGGTCTGCCCACGAACGCAGAGGAAACCTGTTAGCCAGCCTGGAACCCGTGTCCTGGTCCGTTGCCTTAACCACTAGGCCACCCTCCCTTGGGCCAGCGTGAGGTCGGTCAGTCCCCAGGGATGGCTTTTCTGAGCTGACGTCTTTGCCTCCTTCGAAAACTCCCTTTTAATGTAACTGTCGGTGGGTTTTCTAGCACAGCCCTTTCCTGCACCGTGGCACCCCCACACCCCACAGGCCTGCGTCTCCCCGGCCCTGCGCCCCCCACCCTC